TTTGGTGTTCCTTAAGAACAGCTACACGCTGGTGATAGTGAGCCTCAACAATAGCCGCAAACCCTAATTCCCCCATTGCGGTGTATGCGCAGCTCAGCAGTCTCTGCAGCACACAAACCCTAAACCCTAAACCCTAAACCCTAAACCCTAGGAGTTTTGTTTTGCGTTAATTTTTTGACGAGAGGGTTTGAGGGTTTGAGCTTTTCACAGATAGAGCTAAAACTCTTCACGAGGGTTTAGGGTTTAGGGTTTAGGGTTTAGGGTTTATATATTACTTTGGCGGGGTTTAACATAAAACAGTGGTTTTCTCCTGGGGTGTCTATACACCATAAATTTCTCCCCAGCTGCAGCGCGGCTCCGCTATCTCCTTCATCGACAGCAATCGATGCCTGCAGCACAAACCCTAAACCCTAAACCCTAAACCCTAAACCCTCAGAAGTGTTTTAGGAGTGTGCGCTTCGATCTATCACACTGAGGGTTTAGGGTTTCCGCTTTTTCGTGGAAAAAACAAGGGTTTAGGGTTTAGGGTTTAGGGTTTAGGGTTTGTCATGGAGAAAACAAGGGTTTAGGGTTTAGGGTTTAGGGTTTAGGGTTTGTTACGAGGGTTAGCAGCTCTTCTAGCTCTTTCGTTTCTGTTTTTGTTTTTTTGTGTTTTATTTTTTTTATTATTTTAATTAGGGTTTGCGGTGTATAGCCAAGGGGCCTCCACCCCACCTCTGTCTCCTTATTATAAGAAACACAAACCCCCAGACCTGCGTAAACCCTAAACCCTAAACCCTAAACCCTAAACCCTAAACCCTAGGCCCTAGAGATAGCATTCCAGCTAAGCAAAAAACACAAACCCTAAACCCTCAAAAGACATATCTACAAACCCCCAATGCCCCCATCATACCCTGCATCCTAGGGTTTACAGTTTACAGTCTAGGGTTTAGGGTTTAGGGTTTAGGGTTTAGGGTTTACCTGAGAGGTCAGGGGCTACACATATCTTCTTGCGGTTTGCTGCCCATGCAGCAGCAGCTTTCGCAACCTCATCAGACAGCTGCTTCAGCCTTCTGCTGCTGCTGCTGCTGCTGCTGCTGCTGCTGCTGCTGCTGCTGCTGCTGCTGCTGCTGTTGCTGCT